TGTGCATAGTGTAGTATTTCCCAAGTTGTGGTATAGAAATCATGCCATAAGAAATAGATCTTCACTGGTCTGAGGACCCAATTTGTATTCTTTGTTATTTTTAGTTGAAAATTTGACAGTGAAGGACATCAGAAGGTCTGTGAGATTTTCATAGTGGTCCATGGTCTAGAAAGTTTGAAAACCACTGGTGCATCTTTTATTGCAAAGACTTTCTGTAAAGTATTTTTTTCAAACTTTGTCTTACTTTGTATTATCCAGCTAAAAAAAAGAAAATAAATCCAACAATACTGTTCAGAATAAAGCAGTTAAGTCTATTCAATGTGATATTTTAATTGTGTAGGGGAAAAAAAGAGAGCAAAATATCTACAGGTGTATTTGGGAAGTCTAAGGTGCTTAAAAGTAAAGGAATTTCTATTGCCACAAAAGCAGAAGTCTGAGTCCTATAATATGTCTCATTATAACAGGTATCTTCATAGCAGTGTTACTTTTTCTTTCTGGTTCAGAGACATCTCTGTGGTTTTCCCTTTTCTTCCAGAAACACTTTCATTAGGTAAAACAAACAACCAAACAATAGAAATAACCTTTCTTTGCTGTAATTGGAGAACTGAAAAGGAAAGTATGTAGAAATTAAGGTGAGCACTTGCAAGCTTGTGGCTTCAAGAGATTTTTGCCATTTTCTCCCCAAACCAGTTCTTCTTGATATGCAATAAAGAGCCTTCTGTCATGAAGATGGTGGGTTGCGATTTTTTTGGTATCTGAAACTGCCTGGCTTGGGGTGCAGGTTTACCTCTTGGAGGCTGACTGAGAGTGACATTAGGTTTTCTCTTTGAGATGTCTATGAGTGGCATCATCTTCATCATTCACGATCCATCAGTTGAGTTTTGAGTTCCACAGTACTTTTAAAATGTTATGGAAATGGCTTGTTCTTAGTAAATAGATTCAGAGTGCAGCTGTTTGTTTGTTTTTAGGGACATTTATCAGGGCCAGTGAGACAAAATGTATTTGGTGTGGCAAGGTCAAGTGCTGCCACATGCAGATCCTCATGTAGAGATAATCATAAATGCTGCTTTGTCTGTGAGTATAAGTACATGAGCATGATTTATTCATTATCTTAATCAAGGCATGACTGGCAGGAGGAATACACAACTGCATTGTGGAAAGACAGAATGCTGTCCTATAAAGAGACACTTAATCTTGGACTGAATCCTAAATGCATGGATAATGAAGGGATGTGAGACCAAAAAATCTGTTAAGTGACTGAGGAAACATTGGGATCTTGATTTAAAGTGCACATGTGACTTCTGCCCTTTGTGCCAGGCTGAGATACACTGGAATGTGCTTTTGAAGGAGCATACCTCCATTTGTATTTGTCCAATTAAAACCCCACATCTTCTTGCCATTACATGTTATCAAATATGAATTTATTCTTATTATGAACTAAATTGTGAGTAAGTTTCATGCCATAAATTGTGAGTAAGTTTCATGCCACATGGTTAGGTCACTTCAATTCCTTTCTTCTGGTCCTTTGTAATGCAGCATAATTAGATATGCTGTTAAATCCTGGTAATTGTTAATTTTTTTAACTCCTGCATGGTGACACAATATTCGATGTTTTGCACATTTTCACTTAAAGAAAAAGTTTCTTGTCCTTACAGTAGACAGAAACATACGTGCTCAATTTATGGCTACAGGGAATTTCTTTTCTGGTAGTAGTAGTGACTGATCGTATTCAATACAATAAAATAGTGCATTTTGGTTTAGTGTGCACTGAAGGAATAAATGTACATGAAAATGTGATGTCTTGAATGTGTCAGTGTTTTATGCTGGTCTGTTACATTTTTTTCCCCTCCACTTGCTCAGATATGTGCTTGAGAAAAACTGACATCAAAAAGAAGCAATCGTAGGTGATTCTTCATTTTATTCAAGCTCTGACTTTCCTGGCTTTGTAGAAATGTTGAAGTGTTCCTAATCCAAGACATGCACTTAGCACAGTTCCAATCATTGTAACAGTGAAATTAGTGTATATGTTAAAGCTGTTCATATTGACATAGCAATGTCAGTGGATGGAAAGTGGGGAATAAATATTAATACAACTGTAAGGCATCTGTTTTTTTTTTTTTTTCTCGGTATAACCCCATCCACAGCTGTGCTGGAGTTGACAGGAGCTGATGGAACCTCTATGGAGAATACCAAAGTGAATCTTGGTGCCTGCCTGTAAGGGGGGCTGTTTTTTGGGGACTTCCCAATGGCTGTGTTTTCATAACCTGTTTGAACTGGAGTAGAATCATGCCTGTGCCTATAATGGCCCAGCCCTGTTCCATGTGCCAGCAAGTCTCTTAGTGCCACTGGTATGCTGATATTTGATTACTGGGCTGAACTTGACTGTTTTCATGTCTCAGTTTCTTCTCTTCTCCTGAGTTACTGCTCATCCAGACACACCTCCCAGACTGGCTCAGTACACTGCCACATGGACACTTATCCTGGCCTGGGAAAGGAGATGGTATATAGGACTAGTTTGGTGGGATGAAGACTCAGGCAGTTAGAGGGCTGGAGTGTGGCTAAATGTGTTTAATGGTTCTTGCACAAGTTTTATTTCCATATCTGATGTAAAATACTCAAATAAAATCTTGCTTAAGACAGTAATTACAACATCCATGTTTCAGGAATAATACAGCGGTAAGGAAAAATATTTCTCTGTACTTGTTGATACATATGGTGTATTTTAAAGCCTGGTGTCCAGACTCTTCCTTGCAGTGGTCTGAGGAGCCGGTTTTAAGCTGAAGGAAAGAATGAAGGGGAAAAGGAAGAAAAGAGTTTCATATCCTAAAGTACTGCTGATAGGGAAAATAATGAATGTACCTTCTAATGTGTAAATAGAGTGTATTCTGGTCCAAAGGGGGAAGGAACATCTCTGCTGCCTGAAGGATATTTCTGGCTTACTGAGTCAGGCAGTCAATAGAAAGAAAGATAGCTACTTGTATAGGGTAGTTCGAAGCAGGAACCTAATTTAGCCACTCTGTATTCTTCTGTGAGGAAGCCTGTGTCTCTTCATTCGCCACCTGGTGAGCCTAAGAAAATTATCCTTCCTGGGCTAATGCTGGCCTCTGAATTCCCCCTGGCTTTCAAAACCACATGCTGGATGACCGATCTGCCCTGCTGAGAGCAAATTAGGTATAGGGTGGGTGTCATCTGCTTGTTCCATCCAGGAGCAAATTAGAGAATTCCTACTTCCAGCCAGTAGGAAGAAAGGGGTTTAATCTTTCAAGTTAGCACTTGAATAAAGAATCTGTTCTTTAAAAGTGTAATGCCTAGTTTTGTCAAGCTATTGCCTTTTGGTTAATAAAGGCATTTTTGACTGATGTAGAATTGTTTATTTGGTATTTATCCTTTTCCTTTTTTATTTGGTGTTTTCTGCAGCACACTAAGGAGATGGAGTGGAGTGGTGCTTTTTCAAGCTGCCAGCAAAGTCTCCTTGTGACTAGGAATAAAAGTTAAACACTACTGGATTTTTTTTCTATTCCTTCAATCCATTTTGCTGCTAGTTTGCATGCAGTCTAAACTCAGACTTTTCAGGCATGCATTGTGTTTGCACGAAAAGTGCTAGAAACTTGTCTTAATTAATTGTATCCAGCGTTTGTAGGCTACCAAAGGTTCACTTGAACTTTCTGTTTAGAGCGTTTAGTGCACTGAAGGCATCAAACTGCAATTAAAACAACTTCTGTGGGCATCTGTGAGTTATTAAGGTTACACACTGTTCGTGGCATCTCCTGAGTAAGAGCTAGTTATGCTGGGAAGCCTAATGGGAAGAAAATCTTGGTGCATGTTTTTCCCCTCTGTGTGCTTGATTGACTGTGGGAAGCTGGAGGAGGAGGGGTAGGAAAGGGCACTAGAAACACTTTCACAATTGGCTCTCCCTACTCTCCACACTTTAACAGAGATGGTTTTTTGTACAGCTGTAAGGATTTCCAACAAATACACTATTTAGAGTGTAAAACTGCCTGCTTGCCTCCCCATGACACAGAGCCTCCAATGATGCTGTTTAATTAGGGTTTTATTGGTCTCTCTGAGAGGATGTAGATTTGCTGGTATGTATCTGTCTGGGATCACCTGGCCAGAAACATATGGGGATATGCAGGAAACAGAAATCTTCAATTTGCAGAAGATGTGGTGGGGAGCAGCCTCTAAATGAAGAACAAGTCTGTCACATCCCAAAACAGCTGTCTAGGTGCTTTGTAATTTATTTGGAAACCCCAGCCCAAGATCTTGAATCCTTAAATGCCCCATAGACAAAACTCCTGTATACAAAGAGGATGCTCTGTGTGGGAATATGCAAGAAAATGGTAGTTCTTAAATGAATAAACTGTTCCCAAGATGAATCAAGTGTAAGCATCTTAAGGTATCATTAAACTGCCAGTGACTTTTTTTTCTTTGGCTTAGATGGTTTTTTGTTTGGTTGGTTTGGGTTTTTTTGATGGTTTTTGGTTAGTTGCTTTTTTATAGCTTTGTGGGGGTTTTTTAAATTTTTTTTTAATGTTAATTTTATTATAGCTTTTAAATAGTGTTGGATGTTTTGGTATTTCTTTTACATCATTCAGTTACTTAAAAAGTTGAAGCTATGAGTTATGGTTTATTTATGTGGTATGGAGGACTTTGTTCTGCATGATAGCTTTCACAGTAACAGAATCAGAAAAAGAGAGATGCTTCTCTTATAAGTGAATATTTCCCTGTTGATAATCATATTATTTGAATATATAGTATACAGAAATAAAACAAATCTAATTATTTGAATATTTCTGTTCTTATGATGATTTATCTCTGCATTTAGTGAACAGAATTTCAAAAAATCAGGGAATTTCAGAAAATCACAGTCTTTATGTTTCTTTTTTATGGTGCAGACTTAGCAGGTAAGACTTCCACTCAAATCAATGAAACTTCATTCTCTGTTCTCATTTAGAAAGCCATTGATGCAAAACACTGGTGTTTGTGTTGTTTTGTTGCAGCTGTTCTCTAACATTAAAGATGGTGAAGGTTTGCAGTTGTTCGAGCAAGGCCATCGCACTGCACACAAGCAAGAGTGTCACACCATGGAGGCAGTGAGGCTGGTGGAGTTCAACCTGAAACAAGTGCTCACAAAGCTCATGACTCAAATCTTCGGTGACGGTAGGTTCTCCTGGGCTGCTCATGGCTGTAGTCTTTTGGGCTGTGGAGACATATTTTGCTGTATAAATACAAACAGGAGGCTCAGGAGCGGTGTTGACAGCTGGAGTACAGAATTTTTTCAAAAAAATGGCTTTTTTCAAGAGGCCACACCCTCCTTTCTTGGTTTTCCTAAATACTGGTGCACACAACACTGTATTGAATCATCAGGTTTTTGTGAAAATGTTTTGATATGCAGCATGTCAGGGTAATGTAGTGGGCATATACATGGGGAATACAGACGGGGACACGTGCCAGACTCAACTGCAAACAGTTGTTGGGCAGAAGCAGGGTTACAGTAAAGGTGGGGGACCTGTCAGTGTGGATCCTGTGAGGAGAGGCAACTCCAGCTCCAATGCAAAGCTGTGCAGGACCCCCTCTGCTTTATCCTCATGAGCCTCCCACGTCCCTAGAGGGACAGGGCATGGGGTGCACCATCGCAGCTGGGCGTGCGTGAGAGCTTGGGTGCTGCTGGGGAGGGTGCAGGGCAGTGCTCACCTCTCACCAGCAGTGTGGAGACGGACAGGGCCAGGGAAGGGGTTTGTATGTGCATGTGCTGCTTTGCTGTGTACACCCATGAAGCACCTTGAGCATTTCCCATGCGCAAACGAATTAAACCTTGCAGCTGAGGGGAGGCGGCGTTTGCTAAGTTGACGCAAACCGAAAAATACTTGTTTTTTGGTGCTTACAGTGGGATGAGGAAAGGTAATAAATGTGTATATGAATGAAATATTCTGTCCTCAGAAATACCTGCTTTCAGTTTTCAGGAACAGAATTTATAAATGGCCTGAGTCAAAATTGCTGCATTAATGCTGTTTCCTGGCAAGGAGGCTGCTCTTCTGATCTTGATTCATCTTTCTGTTGAGGAAATACTGGGTGGTATTAGAATGTATCTGGTATCCTGCCTACTTTCAAAGGTCTTTTAAGATGCTTACTGCACTTAGAGCAGTATTTCCAAGAGTGGAATGATAATGGTACCAAGTCCTATATATGATTGCTTGAATATTTTTCTGAATTTCTAAAGCTGAATTTATAGGAAGAAAAACTTTTACCAGTTTTTGTTCTATTCCACCTGAACAAAAATTAAGTTCTTCAGATCAGAGTTTCTTGTGGGTGCATTTTACTGAACAGTGACCTTTTGAAGCATAAAAAATTAGAATCACAGTGAGTAATAGTAAAAATGATATTTTTAGATCAACCTCAGATGCTGGGGATGTTGTTTAAAGTGAACAATTTCTAGAAGTTATTAGTTATCAGAGTTATTTAGGAGTTATCAGTCTGCAGTTTCATCCTTCTCTAAGTGTTGACAGAGGCTGCACTTTAAGCTTCAGCATGCTGGCAGTTCTTATACAGTCCACACAGTAGCTAGAAAGACATTAAAAATATATTCATAAATTATTTTAAACATATAGACTAAAAGTAGATGCCACCTTCTTACTGTAGGGATTTTCCATTTATACCAGCTATATTTTTCCTGAAATACAAAGACAAGATATAGTTAGTGATTTAAATGTAATTTTATATATATATATATAGATATATATATATTTCTCCCCCACATTTCATGAAAATAGTTGAATATAGTATTCAGAGAGCAAAGTTCATGTTAGGCATTAGGTGTATGAGATCGGTGCACTGCAAGTGTCTTGGGACACACATAAATAAATTTCTCTTTTGACTACTGTCATCTTCTATCTTCCATTTTACTCTTCTCTGTAAACAATACTCTTGATTACTTTTTTTTGGTCTCAACACCTGTAAATTTTAACTTAATTTTGAAATGTGTTTTACTGTGTTTATTGCTCTTGGAAAATTTCTGTATTTTTCCTTTGTGTGGCTATTCCATAGGGCCTCATGTTCTGTTAAAAGCAAAAATTTCATTCCTTTTATACTTCACATCAGTTGTATTCTTTACAGCTTGTGCTGTCAGCAGAATATTGTAGTGAAGTTGCACATCTTTTCTAGCAGGATAGTGCAACCATCATTGCTGTAAGCTATTGAAATGTTGCACTGTCACACAGTCAACTGTTACTCATAGGCAGATTGTTTGGATTTTAGATTAAGTCTACTGTGCAAGTTAATTTTGCGTAAATTCACTTATACCTAAAGTCCTGGAATTGGATAGCTGTGGTTCTGCAGTACTTCTCTGGGAATTTACCGGCTCAGATTGATGACAGACTGAGGATCCCTGCAGGATCTCTGCAGAAAGGTCAGATCACTGACCTGCCCTTTTTTTTCCCTTTTTTTTTTTTTTTCCCTCTGTATCGTTCTAGGTTAGTTTTCATAATATTTAATGAGACAGTTTTGCTTTACCTGACTCTTTACCTACACTTATTCCGAAAGTTTTTCTTTTTATTTCTTTCTGGCTTTGACAACAGACAAAGGAATGACATAGATATTAGATGGAGGGGGAAGGATCTGGATCCTGCAAGCTATTGTCTTAAATACTTCCCAGTGTATGATAGTTCTGTTTATGAGATTTTTCTAGTGGTATGCCATTTCTGATTTTGCATTCTACAAGTAATTATCTTCAGGTTTTTTTTCATGAGATTTTGATATCAGGAAGCTATTTCAAATACTACACCTAGATATCACATTCCTAGTTTTCCTCTATTACCTCTAGATAAGGTGTACACTTGAAATTCAGTAATTTAACTTACACCTCCATCTCCCCATACAGATCTATCAGTGTAGGAATTCTGTTATATCTCATTTAAGTTACCTTGTAATAAGGCTTTCCAAGATAAGCTCTCTTAGGTTTCTCTATAAAGTGTTAGTCTGTCCTTCTCAACTACAGTTCTTTCTGTAACGCTTCCGTAATTTTTGAAAAGCTTTCTGGACCCCAAGAGATTCAGAAGTAATCTTACTGTAGCAAATAGAAAAGACTGATTGTGTGTTGGTTTTGTGATTTGTTGCTTTACATGAAATGGCTCAAAATTCACTACTGTCCCATATTTATCTACCCAGTTTCTAGGCACTGGTAAGGGGAGGCAGAAGAGTGAGTGATGCTGTGCTTTGACTGATGGCTTTGCTGCTGCTGGTTTTCACTGAACAGCCACTGGATGTCTTTTAAATCAAACATGTTGTTTTGCTCTTTCTTCTTTTTGACTCTGTTGTACTGATACCTCCTTTGAGTACTTGGAGATCTATAAGTGTAAGGAGTTTAAAAAGAAAGAAAAAAAATCATTTATTGAGGACATAATGGTCTGGCTAATAACTTCTGAAAAATGTGAGCTAATGTAGGTTTATGGGCAGCCAGCTCCTGTCTGCTGCAAGTGTGATGAATTATCTGTAACAACGAGGTGCAGAGTACTTACAAATCAGCGCTCACCTCAAGAGGCCACAGTTTGATACCTTCTGTGCTTCCCAGCACCCACCTTGTGCCCCTCTCCTTTTTCTCCCATAACCTCATCTTTAAAAATAATCCTCACAGGAACAAAGAGAATTTCTGGTCAGTGAAGACCATCTGGGTCTCAGGCTTTGTTGCTTCTGTGCTGTAGTGTAGCAATAGGCTGCTTTAATGCGTTTGGTTTGTTCTTTTTTCTTTTCTTTCTTTTTCAGTGCCTTTGGTCAAGCCTTTTTCATTACGAGACTCAATTAGGCTAGCACTTGTTTAGCTTAATATCTGTTATCACCATTACTTTCGAGTGCAGGCTATGACCAGTTCCTTACCTCGATTCGGTATTCAGAAATAAAAATAAATATTCACTATTTCCGTACTTATTGGAGATGTTTGCATGGCAAGGTTTTGGTATCAGGGGGGCTACACGGATGGTTTCTTTGAGAAGCTGCAAGAATTTTCCCCTGTGTACAACAGAACCAATGCCAGCCATCTCCAGGACAGACCCACCGCTGACCAAGGCTGAGCCAGTCAACAATGGTGGTAGTGCCTCTGGGATAACACGTTTTAAAAGGGGGAAAAAAACCTCTGCACAAATGCAGCCAGAGAGAGGAATGTGAACATGTGCAGGAAACAGCCCTGCAGACACCAAGGTCAGTGGAGAAGGAGGGGGAGGAGGTGCTCCAGGCACCAGAGCAGAGATTCCCCTGAAGCCCCTGGTGCACACCATGGTGAGGCAGCTGTGCCCCTGCAGCCCATGGAGGCCCATGGGGGAGAGATCCACCTGCAGCCCCTGGAGAACCCCATACTGGAACAGGGGGATGCCCAGAGAAGACTTGTGACCCTGTGGGAAGACCATGCTGGAGCAGGCTCCTGGAAGGACCTGTGGCTCTGTGGAGAGAGGAGCTCATGCTGGAGCAGGTTTCCTGGCAGGACTTGTGATCCTGTGAGAGACCCATACTGGATCAGCCCATTTCTGAAGGACTGCACCCTGTGGAAGGGATCCACACTGGTGCAATTCATGAAGGACTGTCTTCTGTGGGAGTGACCCCATCTGTGCTGGAGCAGGGAAAGGGCGGCAGAGAAAAGGAGTGATGAACTGACCGCAGCCCCCGTTTCCTGTTCCCACTGCTGGCAGGGAGGAGGTAGAGCCTGGAAGAAAGGAGGGGGGCAGGGAAGGTGTTTCTAAGATTTAGTTTTTGTTTCCCATTATCCTACTCTGATTTGGTTGTAATAAACTAATGTCCCCAAGTCGAATCTGGTTTGCCCATGACTAAGTGGTGAGTGATCTCTCCCTGCCCTTATCTCAACCCAGGAGCCTTTCGTTGTGTTTTCTCTCCCCTGTCCAGCTGAGGAGGGGAGTGATAGAGCTGCTTTGATGGGCACCACAGTTACTGATGGACATGTACCTACTGGAAGGACTCCCATGAATACTGTGAGGATCTGAAATGAGAGGGTGTCCTCCTGGTAACACAAGTAATTTCTTTGAATTGGAGAAGTTGCTGAGTTTGTATCTAGTGGTCAGTCTCTGGTTAGATTTGGCATTGTACTCTTGTAAGTACCGCTGTGTTAGGCATCTCTCAGCCTTCTAAAATTTCTTGAAAAAGATCAGTTTTTGCCAGCATTTCACAGGCTGTATATGAAGAAATAAATTAGGCCTAATCAGGTAAATTATATGGTAATACAGAAAGCCTAATCTTCATAATCCTTTTAAGTCCTCAGTGGTCTAATTTGCTGAGTGTGAGCAATGCCCTTTATTCCTGGGGAATATATTGAGCTCCAAGACAATATTTTGTATCTAAATAATAAATGTATCCATTTATTCTGTGACAGTCTATAGAAATGCAGTTAGAAGGCTTAATCTTGCCGAAGGCTGAGAACACTCAGCTTTTCAGTAAAGTCTTCTAGAGTCAAAAGTCTGAAAGAACACTTGAATATGAACTACAGTGGTATTCCCAATTGGCTGTGATACTGTATGAATAAAATTACTGTGGTATATGGGGTTAACTATTAATTTAGAGAACAGAATAAAGGTGAGAGTTGTTTCTTCATTGTGAATTTGTGTTGGTTTATTCAGATTTTTGTTTGTTTGCTTATTTGCATTTAAAACAAAAGCCTCTTAAGTACTGATAAGCATTAAAATGCAAAAATAAAAAAGTTTTGAATTCTTTTTTTATTTTTAAAATTTATTTTAATTAAGAACGAACAGCTGAGAAATCCCTTTTTTCCCCCTTATCTTCATTTTGAAGTAATAAGAGGATTAAAAAGAAACCATTATCTGAATGTTATTATTGAACACAAAACTACTTGAATATTCAGTGTCCTTTCTATAAGTCCAAATTTTGCAAGCTAAGTGAAAATATTTTATATATGTATGGCTTTACAGCATATGCAAGGTTGTACAGCCCTAGGATTAAAAATGCCAAGATCAGGAAATTAAAAAAATGTTTTCTGCGTACCATACTGTTACATACATGACTCTTTTCCTCTATGTATTTTTTTATTGTTATGTGGGAAGAAAAACCAATTAAATGATTGCTAAAAATCACAGTACAGTGGTGAATGGTATGACTGCAAATACTTCCAGTTTTCAAAGTTCTGTATGTAAAATTATCAGAAAGCTTTGTTATCTTTCATATAATTTCCTTAGTTTAATTTTTAAGAAAGTAAAGAAAACCTAGCAGAAGCAGTGTATTTGTTTTTTAAACCTCCCTCACCATTTGAAAGTTCATAACATCTAGAAATATTTTGGCCATGCATGTACTTTTGTTGTAGCTTATTGTTTCAGTTTCTGTAGCCACATTTGATGTTTCAGAAGTAATCAAAGAAAATCTAATCCTGTAGGCTACGTAAAATATTTTTGTTTGAAAAACTTTCAGTATAAATCATGCGATTTGATGTTTTACATGCCTTTTATGAAATGATGCCAAAAAAGCCTGAAAATCAAACCAGGAATGTTAACAGATACTGTCACTCAAACAATTTTTGCTATCCCCCTTATTTTCAAAGCTGTACTTGCCTGGTTCTTAATGATCCTAACACTGATTGGTATTTGGCTTAACTGAAGGGAAGATGGGCTTGGGGTTAAGGCAATAGCTTATAGATTTTGCACTTCAGTTCTGTTTTGTGTTTTTGTAGTTCATGTTTCTGAAACTTCTTTCCTGACACCTAGGAAATAGCTAGAAAAAATTATTTAGTGAATGGAAACCTCTAAATCATTAGAAGAACTAAGGCTCATCAAATATAATAAGGGCCTTGACAACAACTCTGCTTTTGGCAGCAGTGTAGACCTTGTCCTCTTCTGGCCCTTCTGCTCTGAGATGCGAGGAACTTCCTCACTCTGTGCAATGGTATTTGCAGAGGTGCTGAGCTGGGGGGGACGATGGGGAGTTACCCAGTGGTGCTTTTGTCTTACACTTATCTGCTGAGTCCAGAATGCTCTCTGTGTGTTGCATTCCTTAATAATGTACAACTCTGTGCATTTATATTTCTATTTGAGTATATTAATATCTATTTTTAACTTTCATAGTTAAATGTATGCTTTGTATTTTAATTAGATTCTGATGAAAAAAAATTACTTGCCTAGACAATCGATGAAATACTAAGTAAAAATTAAAGACTTAGCTAGCATTTTCCTGTAAGAAGCAGTTACTAACTTCTTGGTGCAAAGAATAACAGAATTACTGACTTACCCATGATCTTGGCTCATTTTTGTGCGATGCCAGGTGGTTGCTAGAGTTTGACAAATGATGGATTTGGTTTCAAAGGGTGCTTGAATTGCACAAAGCATTTTTCATATTAAAAAAGACATGGTCATTTTTTTCCACAGGTTTTAAGATTTATCGCCTTGCATGACTGTTGTAAATTAGTTTGTTTGCTATTTATTTTCTCTGGATTGCTGTAATTGATGTCATTAGTTGAAGGGCAAGTTTTACAGATGGTTGGAGGGATGGCCTTTTAAGCATACACCCTTTCATATTTATTTATTTATTTATTTAAACACTGCTACAGGACTGCAAGTCAGATGGGTAGATTGCTACTTCCCGTTTACTCACCCTTCCTTTGAGATGGAGATCAACTTCCAAGGAGAATGGATGGAGGTCCTGGGCTGCGGGGTCATGGAGCAACAGCTTGTTAACTCAGGTACTGAAACTCCTTTACTTCATTGACATCTCTGTTAGCAAACATTTCCAGAGCAATCAGCTTCACAGTCTGAAATTCCCCCTTCTACCCTGGTGAGCACAGACATATCCCTCAGGTGGAATGCAGCCCTTGCATGCTGTGATTTGAGAGTAACAACTGAGCAAGTGATCTGGAGCCTGCAAACAGAAAGCTTGCCTTTTATTTTGTGCAGTAAGGAGAGAGACAGATGTCAGCTTTATAAGGGAACCTGCAAATTAGGGTGTGAGGTTTTTTTTTTTTTTCTTCTCCAAGAGATGTTAAGTGCATTCATAGTTATGATTTTAAAGTAACATTAGCAAATAATATCCCCTGTTATCTGGAATATCCAAGTGCTCCTGTGTCCCCAAAGTATAGAAAGAGGAATGTGCTATTTTTCGTATTGCTATTTGGTCACTGGCTAAATAGTAGGTAGATTTTTGCCTTTCTTTTGTTTCCTTTTTCCTTGGGTTAGTTATTTATGAAGTTGCAAACTGCATTAAGAGCACATAATTTATTTAATTGAAATTATTACAGAGAAATTTCAACTGGCAGTTTTGCTTTCCGAAATTTGTAAGTATGGAGGAAGGAGAGGGGAAATTGGTGGATTTTTTTATGTCTAAATGGAAAATTTTACATGCTTGCTTTTTCATTTGCTGAGAATAGGTAATTCTTCGTTAGCATAGAACAGACTGCATGTGTTCAGACCTTTGTCATTCAGTGTCTTCCAGTACTATTTATTATGTACAGAAGCCTTTTGGAATATGACTTGAAAGCAAGTGTGTTTTCCGATAGCCAAGTTAATACTCAGTTGAATTTTTTTCCATTGGTTTGTTACGCTATTGTTGTATTTTCATATGGTCTAAATTCTTCCTATTGAAGTCCAAGTGATAACTATGAATTACTTAATTTTGGCACCAGTTACTTGGCACAGCTTGTTTTCCTCAAAGTTTGCATGTATTTTAATGTGATCATTTTCCTTTTAAAAAGATATCCTGTTCCAGAGTTTCTCTCCGCTGAATTAATGATTTATGCTGATGTTCTTTCTCGGGTTATTATCTTCATGGTGTGGTAAATATAATATACAGCTTCTAATCAGCCTTACAAGTGAAAGACTGCTGTGTAATATTATTTCCATCAGATGTAACAGACCAGTGTCCAGGCTTTCTTCTTGAAAAGCTTTTATGTTGCTCAATTCTTAAGTTTAGGTTCCTTTAATAGATGCAAGAAGAGTTAAGCTGTGTCCTCAAAACAGTGACCGTTTACATTTGTGTGCGTGTCTATGAATGGATGTGCACGAAACGCAAGCGGTTTCTACAGCAGTTTTTTTGGACTTCAACAGCACTTTCTCACCTTTAAAATTTCACATTAATAAAGTGTTAAACCAGATCAAGATTAGCCAAGGGAGGTGCGACCAGCATCATTCTTGTCATTCAGTGGGCAGTGGAAATGATCTGGTCTTCTGAACCATTCAGATTTTCCACGTTAACAGTGAGCAAGGTTTCTGTTGTCCTGGTGTGTAGATGAGCAAATACAGTTTGGTAAAGGCTGCAAGTACCTTTCCCATTAAAGCCAATCCACCTATTGATTGTTTTTTAACAGTTGTTTGCATTCAAGAAAGCCTCCTCCAACAAATAAAATTGAGAATATGGTGTTATTTACTATTTTTTAACAGTGATAGTTTCTATTTTAAAAGAAAAATATATACCTTATGTTTTTATATAATTGTTGAAAAAATATACACTTCTGCAAAGATGCACTGACTTGTCAGGAATGATGTTACATGCTCCCCTAAGTCTGATGGTGCTAAACTAGAGCAAGTATTTGGTATAAAGTGAACATAGAAGATAATTTTGATAATCAGTTTTCACTAAGTATAAAATCTAGCTTATTGTACTGTTTAACTTCCCATTTTTGTGTGCTTTGTTTTTCGTCTTAAACTATACCTGAATACATAATTTTAATAGGAGTGCTATGTATAAATTTTGATATTGGAAAAGTTATTTTTGTTCTGGTTAATACTGGTAAGAATACAGAAAGTTTGCAGTATTGCAGAGAGTACTCTCGGTTTTAGGACCATGATGAGGATACAAGGAAATTTTGTGGTTCAGTAGAGCTAATTTCAATTAACAGCACCCAAGGTATTTATATCTGTACTTCAAGAGTTTGTTATCTAAGATTTGCAAAGCTGGTGTTCATCGATAGGTGCTGAAGTTCCAAGTCTATATGGAGTTCTAAGGTTCAAACCTTTGAATATAGCATGTTGCTTACTCAGAGCCTGTGATCACATAGTGTTGCTTAGTAACTGTGAAATTGGAAGCAGTTAGGGTGTGATCCTTTGCTGATGAAAATCAATGGCAATGTTCTCAGTGCTCAGCATTGCGGAATATGGTAGCTGGGGACGGAAGCAAGAAAATTGGACTGAAGTTTACCTCAAAACCATGAGACTAAAAAACCAGATAATTTAAAAACAAACCAAACCCCAAACAAACACTCCCCCCAAAAAAACCCCAACCAAACAAACTAAACAAAACAAAAAAGGAGAATTCCTTAACTTTTTGGTAAAACTTCTCATGATGTCTTTAACTCCTGAAGTATACCATAAAATAATGTAAGGGTGGCACACCAGATGCATCCAAAATCCAGAGCATCCCTCTATCATGATGACATCCCAAGCCAGTTCCTAAAGATGAGTAGAACAGGCAAGGTTATGTTGATCTTTCCCTGATATACTCCTGCAACTGCCTGTTTCTTGAGCTGAAAATGGTATGTTTGTTTTCAGTTGTCATTGTGGAATATTCTTACCTTTCTTTGTCAAAATGTTTTTCGAATCCCAGTAAATCTTTACTCTATGCAGCATCTTGTAGCAAGAAATTGCATAACTTGCGTGAGGAACTACTTCGTTTTTGTTCTGACCAGCAGCTTAGAGTTACAGTTAGAGCTCTTCTCTCATGCGAGAAGTGTCAGGGAATATCTATTTCCTTTTACCTTGTTTTGGCCACTCAGTATTTGTTTAGATCTCAGTCGTCACTGACTTCTTTCCAAGCCAAAGGGTGCTGGTCATACAGTCCCTCCCTGTGTGGGAGCCTGTCCATATGTTCTGATAATCATGATCACTCCTGCCTGCATCTCCTTTAGGCTTCTTTTTAATTTTGTGAGTACTTCTGATGAAGAAAAAGTTGACAACTTTGTCTAAACATCTTCATGAATACTGCTGAACACAACAAAAGGAGTTTGTCATAACTTCTGAAAATCATTGCTTTTGTTTGAAAAGGTGGAAACTTATTTGTCATGAAATCTGATTCTTGAAGTATAAGTCTTTCCCATTTGGAATCTCCTTTAAATTATGAGATGCAGGACTTATTTCCAAGATTTAAATAATGCTTGGCCCAGGGCTGCCACCTTCAGCCAAATAGAAGTCTTAACATGTAGAACTTGTTTGGCTTCAATGCTGCAGTAAATAAATCTTACTTTACTGATTTATTGAAGATCATCAGAATTGCTGTCTGATTTCTTTACTCATTTATTGAAGGACATCAATTGCTGTCTGAGGGAAGTAACAACTTTTAAGTTCTTAACTTGTCCACTCCTTCTTGGTTTTGGTAATAGGATTATGAATTTGAACATTTTTCCATGGGCAGCAGGTTAGTAGCTAACAGAAAAAATATGTCAGTGTTACCTTGGAGGCACAGGACTTTTTTTTTTTTTTTTTTAAATTTATGAATGCATTCTTTAATCAAATATTAGTTATGGGTGAGTTAGGTTCATATATCAAGCAGCAGGGGGTGTTTTGCAGAAGGGGAAATTTAATATCTTTCATCTAGCTTTTTTTTTTTCCCCCTGCTCAGCTCTTGCCTGGTAAATTACATTAAAATGTTTGAGCAGATGGTGCATGTGGCTTCAATAGTATGCCGACCCATGTTCTGTCTCTGCTAACAGCTCTCTGCAGGGACCTTGAAATAGTTAACGCCGTGTGAGTCTATATGGATATAGTGGATAAGGGTAAATATAATGCATTTAAAATACATTGAAACTCTACAAGGTGAAATTAAAGTTACAGAGGTATTGGTGTATCGGGCACCTGGGGCCTCCCAAGAACATGAGCTAAAGCTGTTGGACGGGCTCATTCTTCCCACACGAACCTTCAAAGCGATTTAAGTCTGCTGCCTAAGCTTCACAGCTCCCCATCACAAACCTCTCAGGGGTCGTTTTAGGTCACTGTGTGTCTCCTGTGCCACCACACTACCAAAGTACCTTGAATCTCCCAGCCTTTCCTGTGCTTATTTTCCCGAGACTATCATCATTCCTCATTTATGGGCTGGAACTGAAGTGCACAGGAAGCTGACACACATGCACATGCACGCTGCAGACAAAGAGTTTAGCTGCCTTAGTTAAAGTTAGCTTTCCTACAGTCCTTATATACTTAAGAGAGAGAGAAAGTCTCTCTCTTCATACATTCCAACATATGAAGCTTTGTAGATTAATCTTCTGGGCAGCCTCTTTCTATGTCTGGCTGCAGGGGGAGCAGAGTCTCCCTATTTAGGCAGGTATCCGAAGGTTAAGTGAGTATCTCACAAAGATATAACGTCTCCGATGAAACAAAATTAGAAATTAGGAAGCATCTGAGTTTTGCTGACTTCCCTAGGGTCTCAGAAGTTGCCTGCTGAAGAAACTGGTGTTGAATGCAAGCTTTATAGTTCAGCTCCTGGGTCATCTTTGTCTCCATCCATCCCAGTGATTTACATTTGCACATAAATATATATGTGTGTGTATGTATAAAAACAAATACAGAGTGAGGCAAATAAAACAAGTCAATGACCAATTAAGTACAGAGTGAGACATACTTGGCTTGTTTTAGTTTTGTTGTGTGGTTTTCTACACACACACACAGTGTAAATCAGAAAAACTGATTGTCACATCTGGCTAAGTTGAGAGACCTTCTGTTGAGCTGGCAGCCACTGAAACTGTTCTTTGCTCAGTCAGACATGGAGCTGGTGTGGAGTTGTGGTGA